TTAATTATTGTGATTGTTCGTGCATCAAAATTAAGAGAGGGCACCTGTAATCGATTACCATTGGCTATCACTGGCCAGCTAATCGAAATTAAGAGAGGGGATTGGTCATCGATTACCGCCGTTTACCATCGATTACTAGCCATCAAAATTTAAGAGATGGCGCTGGCCGCCATCGTCACCGATGTATTGGCGTCTGTCATTTGAACGATCGCAGCTTATAAAATATAAAACTTAAAAAGTACATGCAATATATCAAAAAAAGAGAGAAAGAAAGTAGCTACCAACGAAGCCACTTGAAATTTCATTCGAAAAGAAGAAAGATGAATGAATTTCGATCAGATCGAAAATTAACTTCATATTCTCGAAAGAATTTGATTTCATTTTTTTACAACCAAGAGATTGAAATCCAATGGGTGATAATTCGATTTTTGATCTCAATTTTTAAAAAGATAAAAAATCCGCCGCGAATCGAGAACCCATAATCGCGAGAATTTTCGTTCCTGCGACTCGAAAAGGTTGGACAAACAGTTTGTCGCTTCTGACAAATAGGAAGGAGAGGGGGTAAGGGCTGAAGGAAGAGAGGAGTGGGGGAAAGTCGACAGCGGTGCGTTTCGAGTTTCAAGAATTCGAGGCAGGAAAGTTGGTGGCAATATTTGACGGATGGAATTAGGTTTATTCGACAAGCGGTATTACGGGCACGTTGACGAGTCATACACGAGTAATGCGGTTTACGCTCCGCGTTTCAATTTCTCTTTGACGCGCGTTGCAATACTGCAAATACAGCGCGAACTGCACAAATATCCGGTAGGTAGACTCGGTTTCAAAGATTCGGGTCGTATTTAAAAGCGCGACGAATCTCGGATCGATCGATATTCACGATTCGATCTCTGAGAAGAGAAATGAAAATTCTTCATACGTGATTTCTTGCATAATAATTGTGGAAACAATCGAGAGATATTAGGTCTAAATTCTACTTATTCGAATCGATTAAGTAATTCGATGGTGATTTATTATAAAATTAATCGTGAAAAGGGTTATATCTATTAATTTATTAAGGAATAAGAGTGAATTATTAATAGTTCGATCGAGAAATGGTTTCTGGTTAATTCTAATGACGCGTTAAGCATTTAAAAATTTAATTCGAGAAAGTGACGATTACTTCTTGCAAATTAATCATGGGAAGAATTAATTCTAATAATATTAAATGATTCTACTTAAAAATCTAATTTTAGAAATTAAGGAATATTGATAAAATAGGAGTGGAACAATTGAAAAAATAATGATAACTTCTTGAAAATTAAATCGTGGAAATAGTTAATTCTAATTTTATTTAAAAATCTAATTTTATAAATTAAGGAATAGGAATAGAAATATTGGATAGAGAAAGTAATAGTTTTTTAGTTAATTCCAATAACAATACTTATGATTTAATTCAAAAATTTAATTTTGAAGATTAAAGAATAGAGATGAAACATTTAATTAAAACAGTGATGATGACTTCTCGCGAATTAATTCTGCAAATAATAAATAGTTAATTCTAATTAATACTCTCTATTAATTAAATTAAATTTAAAAATCTAATTTCGGAGATTAAGGGACAGGGATGAAATAATTAAAAAAGTAATTATTGTCATTGATTTGGATAATGAGATAAGATAGATAGAAATTTCTCAATTTCTCGCTTTACGATTCTAACTCATTTCACAAACTTTATTTATAACAACTTTTTAACAAACTGAATTCTACTATTTACATTATTATTCTATTATTATTCTCGACAGAAGCGAGCGGAACAAATTTGAAACCCAGCTTCGAGACCACTTTCAGACACCAGAACAAAGTATCCATTCACGAGTTTCTTCCTTCTCGTCCATCGAATCTGCGTAAAAATCACGATAAGTAAATAATTTCCGATTTTTGCAACAGATTCTCCTAGTTAAATTGACGCATGAAACGTATGATCGTGTGTATGCACGGTGTATACGCGATGAGAGAGAGAGAGAGAGAGAGAGAGAGAGAGAGAGAGAGAGAGAGAGAGAGAGAGAGA